GCAGCACCTGTGAATTTGTTGGAAATGCAAATCTCAGGCCCCACACCAGCCATTCTAGATCAGAAACTTTGGGAGTGGAGCCCAGCACTCTGCATTTTTAGAAAGTGATTCTAAAGCATGCCAGGAGTGCCTGGGTGGCACAGTCCAACAAGCAACCGACTCTTGGTTTCAGCTCAGGTCCTGATCTTAGAGTCATGAGATCGAGCCCCGAGTTGGGCTCTGCACTCAGCTCAGAGTCTGCTTAAGACTCTCTCACCCTCACGACGTGGATGGAACTGGAGGGTGTTATGCTGAGTGAAATAAGTCAATCAGAGAAAGACATGTATCATATGACCTCACTGATATGAGGAATTCTTAATCTCAGGAAACAAACTGAGGGTTGCTGGAGTAGTGGGGGGTGGGAGGGATGGGGTGATAGACATTGGGGAGGGTATGTGCTATGGTGAGCACTGTGAATTGTGCAAGACTGTTGAATCACAGATCTGTACCTCTGAAACAAATAATGCAATATATGTTAAGAAAAAAAAAGAAGAAGAAGAAGATGGCAGGAGGAGAAGAATGAAGTGGGGGAAATCGGAGGGGGAGACGAACCATGAGAGACGATGGACTCTGAAAAACAAACTGAGGGTTCTAGAGGGGAGGGGGGTGGGGGGATGGGTTAGCCTGGTGATGGGTATTAAAGAGGGCACGTTCTGCGTGGAGCACTGGGTGTTATGCACAAACAATGAATCATGGAACACTACATCACAAACTAATGATGTAATGTATGGTGATTAACATAACAATAAAAAATTTAAAGAAAAAAAAAAAGACTCTCCCTCTCCCTCTGCCCCTTACCCCTGCCAAATAAATAAATCTTAAAAAAAAAGAAAGAAATTTTTATTTATTTATTTATTTATTTATTTATCAGAGAGAGAGCACAGGCAAGGGGAGGGGGCAGAGGGAGAAGCAGGCTCCCTGCTAAGCAAGAAGCCGGGTGCGGGACTTGATCCCAGGACCCTGGGATCACGACCTGAGCCAGAGGCAGACGCTTAACGACTGAGCCACCCAGGCGTCCCAAGAAAGAAAGAAATTTAAAGCATGCCAAAATTTGAGCACCACTACTTTAAAGCAAGGCTGAGGATGGTTGGCCTGGCAGGTTTTTTAAAGCAAATGTTTCTGGTTGCTTCCTCTGGCCATAGTGAAGTCCATCTGGTTTTAAGTAACAGGTCTTCTCCATGATCCCACCCAAGTGAATTAGTTGCAGAAGTTACTCTTAAGTTAACTTGCTGTGTGGAGCTATTAGCTCTAAACCAATTAACCTCTGGAGGTTGCCTACCATAATTCTATTTTTTTAAAGATTTTTATTTATTTATTTGAGAGAGAGAGCACAAGCAGGGGAGTGGCAGAGGGAGAGGGAGAAGCAGACTCCTTGCTGAACAGGGAGCCTGACATGGGGCTCGATCCCAGGACCCTGAGATCATGACCTGAGCCAAAGGCAGACGTTTAACCAACTGAGCCACCCAGGCGCCCCGGTTGTCTACCATAATTCTAGTCTCGTGGTCATGGAGCGACAAGAATGCTCTAACAGTAATTGGTAGCAGGATTCCTTGCTTGTGGTCATTCTGCGTTTTTAGAAAAAAATTATATTATCTGCTCAAGGGCTCTGTATTTTCTGGGGCAAGTTTCTATGCATTCATAAGTGGTTTGAAGTCATTTAAAAAGAAAATGTCAGGCATCGTGTTTGGAAAGCTCAGCTGCCCACAACCTCGTCTTGAGTGATTTCCAGCAGACTAGCAGCTCTGGGTCTAAGCTTCAAAGACAAAAAAAAAAAAAAAGTTACCAAACAATTAGAATGGGGCAAAATGCTGGTTTTGTAGAAGAATCAGTACCTGGGAGTCTCTTGAGCCTGTGCGGCTTAACCCATTCTAACAGATCTTAGGGCACAAACTCAAAAGCCCCAGAGATGTCAGGAAAACCCGTTAAACACATTTGTTTCTTATTCATGAGCAGCTTCTCCACGAGGTAAAGAGAGCCACAGTGGTCAGCCATGGAACAGCCAGACCTAAAACCCCAAACCTCCAAATCTCTGGGCTGGGCTGCTTTTATTTTTCCTTTTATTTTTTTTTTTTTAAGAGTTTATTTATTCATTGAGAAAGAGAGCAGAGAGCGTGTGTGCACAAGCAGAGGGAGTGGCAGAGAGAGAACACAGGGCTCGATCCCACGACCCTGAGATCATGACCCGGAGTCAAAACCAAGGGTCAGACGCTTAATTGACTGAGCCCCCAAGCTAATATTTCTTAATGAGCTGGAAAAACCAATCCACTCACACTCGGAACCCTAAGTGCACACCACTACGTGTCATATGTTATGTCGACCCCTCTACACGCTGGGTCAGTCCAACAGCTGCAGATGTCAGTGATGTTTCTCCCTGTTCCCAAAAGGTAAAAGGCTGAACAAGCCTAAGGAACCCGACCAGAGGCCAGCAGGGCCAGACTCCAAACCTGGAGTGGAGGTGTAATTCCAACGACCGATCGCTTTCCCCTTCTCCCCTCCTGCTCCCTGAGCCTGTGGCTCTCAGAGGGAGACAGTGGGGGGGCCTCTGTTAATTAGGTACTCGGGTTGTGAAGAATCAGGTATTACACCGTCAAGAAGTATTAAGAAGTTCATGGACAGCTCCTGAGCTGCTGTGTGCCAGGCGCCAGGCTAGGGAAGCTGAGGGGGGACAGGGTGGGGGACAGGGATGATGACCATGGTGAAGTCAGCGGGGAGCACAGAGGACTTCATGGGCATTCATGCTGGTACTAAGCCAGCCCCAGCATCAGAGAAGGCTGAACTGGATTAAAGCATGAGGAGGTACCACTTCCTGGTTCCGTGGGCCAAGAAGGAGGGCCTGCCTCTGCTGGAGATGTGGAAAGAGATGGTGATGTGTACAGGGCTTGGCAAGCATGGGGTCTGGGCAAGCGACAACAGTAGAGCAAGAGAGGGAGGCAGGTGGCCCTTGCATCTAGGCCCACATCCACCCTGAAGACAGGGTGTTTCACCCCGAAGGTAGGGAGGAACCTGGGGGGGGCCTCTGAGCTGGGGACTGACCTATTGGGATTTGCAGTGGGGACCGCAGGTTTTGTGGTGGGTGGGTACATGGCCTCTCCGCTCACTGAGGCATGGAGCATGAGGGGTGGGGCCTGAGGTGGAGGGGCCTGGGGATGGCTGAAGGTACATGAATCCTTGGCAGGTCATGGGGCACCCAGCTCTGGAGCTCAGAAGAGTACCTGGGGTCACGGCCATGTGGGTGAACCTGAAGGGACAGGTGCAGCCACACGAGGAGAGGGCAGAGTGAGAAGAAAGGAGGGCCAACGAAGGAATTCTGGGGTGCGCCAACATCCCTGGGATGAGTAGAGGGAAAGGGGCCTAGGGCAGGTGCCAAGCACCTTGCCCAGGGCTGCGTTCAGAAGTTTCAAAATTAAGCCAATTCTAAAAAGTAGCTCTAGATTGACATTTGTCCTAGCAAGACAGTGTGTGATGTCACAGCCCCCATCCTAGCTGGGAGAGGCTGAGCACCTCCCCGCCCCAGGTACATTGGAATTTCTCTGGCCACAGGGTTTCTGGCCAGAAACTATGGTCCCAAACTGTCATCCTTAGTTTCAACGGCCACCCCAGGGTGCCTCGAGTGAATGTTACACACAACTGAGAAATGAGTGAGGCCCTCGGAGTCTGGTCAGCCCTCGGTAGCCCCCTGTGGGTCAAGTTTCAAGGGTGGCCTCATCCGTTTGGCTCTGGATATTTTGGCTCCCAGCAGGACCTGGGGGGGGTAGAAGCCAGCGTTTTCTCAGAGATACAAATGAAACCTGTTGAGCTTATCAGTGACCATGAGGTCGGGTGTCAGGACTCATGAACCCTCCGACAGAATTCCAGAGTTTCCTGGAAACAGCTCTCAGAGTTCCCAGGCCTGTTCTCTGGGTTTTCAGGGACAGTGTCATCCAGAGTGAAATGGCCTGTGCCAGCCATTCAGCAGAGGACAGAGGACAGAGAGGGGACAAACACAGTACAAGCTGGAACACGGGTCCTTTCGAGGCCAAAGGCCAGAAAGCCACAGTTGATAAATAGGAAAGAGAGGCAGAAACGTAACCCAGCACCGCTTAACGCGTCTTAGCTTGGGCCGGCATGACAAAATCCCACAGCCTGGGGCTGGCACAACAGACGTCTATTTTTTCATAGTTTGGGAGCTGTAAGTCCAAGATCAAGGTTCTGGAAGGTTTGGTTCCTGGAGAGAGCTCTCTTCCTGGCTTGCAGGTGTTGCCTTCTCATAGTGTCATTGCGTAGGAGACAGAGATTTCTCTCTCTTATTACAAGGCCATGGTCCTAGCAGGTTAGGGCCCCACCCTATAGCCTCCTGTAACCTTAATTACTTCCTGAAGACCCTGTCTCCAGGTGCAGTCCCATTGGGGGTTAGGGCTTCCAGATGTGAACTGGGGGACAAAATTCGGCGCATAGCATATAAAGTAACACACACACACACACACACACACACAACCCAGGGTGTATATTAGAGGAACTCGTTGTGGGGGTTGCCTATGGAGGTAGGCAGTGGGAGTGGTGAGTGGAAATAAGAGGGAATCGGGGCCCCTGGGTGGCTCTGTGGTTTGGGCGTCTGCCTTCGGCTCAGGTCATGATCCCAGGGTCCTGGGATCGAGCCCCGCATCGGGCTCCCTGCTTAGCGGGGAGCCTGCTTCTCCCTCTGCTTCTGCTGCTCCCCCGTTTGTGCTCTCTCTGAAAACTAAAGAAATAAAATCTTAAAAAAAAAAAGAAAGAAAGAAAGAAGAGGGAATCAATTGATTTACTGATCAATCAAGAGAGGCGCTGTGCAGATTCAAGGTGGCACATGCCAGGGACGCAGTGGGTGGATGTCCGGGCGCCCCTCTCCCCCAAGATTTCACAAAACAGGCGAGCATGTGTCTCTGTGTGGGTTTGGGCCAGGACACACTTTCTGATTTCAGATTGCACTTCTCTTTCAGAAAGTTTTCTCGGCCAGTTCGAGCTCCAGCGGTGGAAATTTGAAGCCCGGGATGATTCTGCCCAACACAACGGTGCCGACGCCCTTTCTGACCGCGCTGTGGCAGGGGACGGTGGCGCAGGGTGGCAACACGTCTGGCCTGGCCCGCAGGTCACCCCGCAGTGATGATGGCCAGCTGGCGGCACTCTACATCCTCATGGTGCTCGGCTTCTTCGGCTTCTTCACCCTGGGCATCATGCTGAGTTACATCCGCTCCAAGAAGCTGGAGCACTCCCATGACCCATTCAACGTGTACATCGAGTCTGACTCCTGGCAGGAGAAGGGCAAGGCGTACTTCCAGGCCCGGGTTCTGGAGACCTACAAGGCGGGTTACGTCATTGAAAACCAGTTGGCGGTGGAACGACCCCACACACACCTTCCCGAGATAAAACCTTTGTCATGACCCCACGATTGGTTAAAACTGGGCCAATCCTACCTGGCGATCTGATTTTTCCCATCATGTGCCTTTTGTATTCTTTATGATTAGGGATGTCATTGGGGTTTTTTGCAATCGTAAGGGGTGAGGGGTGGCTTCATAACCCTGTCTCTCTATCATCACATTCCTTCTCTGATGACTGCCAGACGTTCTTACAAGAACCTGATGATTCCTTCTCAGGATCTGTGCCTGCCTTGTTGATTTTAGCAGCTCTGTTTCCCAGACTCCCTTGCAGCTAGCAAGGTCATGTAGAAGTGGGAGCGATTCTTGAGAAGGAAAGGGTGGGTCCTCCATTTACCTTTGCCCCCACTTCCCAGTGGCTGGGACGGGGATGTGGTAGCGAGCCAGCCTTGCCTCTGGAAAAGGACAGCATCCTCACAGAAGGCAGAACATCAAGAGTCTAGGCAATGTCATGGGACAGGGTGTCTCTGCCTTCCTGCTCACCCACCAGCTCAGGCATTGTGGGAAAGAAACACTCTGATCTTCCTTGGGCCCCTGATATTTTGGTTCCTGTCAAAATAACAGAGTCACTATCCTAACTTAATATCTTATTTTATGGGACTGAGACCAGAGGCATACTATTCCCATATTTGTCACAAGCATGCCCCCGTCCTGTCTTCCTCCCTGCCTCCTGCCTCTCCCTTACATCTACCCTTCACACGGACCCCCTCCAAACACACCCACACTCACACCCACAGATACACACGCACACACAGAGAAGCACACACACCCACAGATACACACGCGCACACACAGAGAAGCACTCACACACACAGATACACACGCGCGCACACACAGAGAAGCGCACACACACACAGATACACACGCGCACACACAGAGAAGCACGCGCACACACACAGATACGCGCACACACAGAGAAGCACTCACACACCCACATACGCGCACACAGAGAAGCACTCACACAGATACACACGCGCACACACAGAGAAGCGCACACACACACAGATACGCACGCGCACACACAGAGAAGCGCACACACACACACAGATACGCACGCGCACACACAGAGAAGCGCACACACACACAGATACGCACGCGCACACACAGAGAAGCGCACACACACACAGACACTTCCTATTCACACATGTCAATCTCAAAATAGCTCGTTTCCTACAGGACTGAGATGCCAGATAAAAAGTTTCTACTTCAGAACATGTACCAAGGGGAGGGTGGGGTGCACCCCCCCACCTCAGAACCCAGGAGAAGGAGTGGGTCTGGGTAAGTGACAACACACGGGATCAAGGGGACAGGGCCTCTCGAGGCGATGTGCCCGTTGTGGTTGAATTGTGTCCCCCAGAAGACATGTTCAAGTCCTAACCTTGGTACCTATGAATGTAACCGTACTTGGAAAGCAGGTCTTTGTAGATGTCATCAGGTGAAGATGAGGTCACTGGGGTGGGTCTACATCCAATATGACTGATGTTCTTATAAGACGTGGGAAATCAGGTCATGGACACATGGGGAGAACTCATGAAGACAGGGAGAGACTGGAGTGACCCATGTGTGAGCCAAGGATGGCCAAGGACTGACAGACACACCAGACCAGGAGAGGCACGGGGAGGCTCTCCCCTACAGGCTTCACAGGAACATGGCCCTACCACACCATGATTTCAGACTTCTGGACTCCAGAACTGTGAGACAAGGAGTTTGTAATGTTTTATTTGGGTTCTGTTAAGTCAGCCACAGGAAACTCGGGCAGTGTCCTCCTTCCCCCGACTCCCTGAGACAGCAGCTTTCCCCTCCACTCTCCTCCTCACTGGACAGAAGATTCTCTGGGAATCTTCCCTCACAGATGGGAGAGGGGAAGGGATTAGGGTGGAGGTGTGTGGTGCTGGGGCCGTTGCTCAGGGTGGTAGAAGAAAACCCCCTTAGTGTTCCCTGACCTTCGAGAATCCCAGAGAACACGCACCTTGGTTTCAGCATGCTTCTCCAGGGGCTGCATTAGCGCTCTGGGACATCCTGCTTGCTTGCCCATTCCTGAAAAGGGTGGAATATTTAAGTAAAACATTAATTGTTGGAAACCTGCATATAGTATAAATGAAAACAACACATAAGCATTGCTGGCCATCCTCAGTGCACGAATGGCGCCCAGCTGACTGTAGCCCTTGCTTCGTGGGCTAGCCCATGGTGCCTGCAGGCGAGCTTGGAGGCAGGGGTTAGGGCACCTCTGGCATGGACAACTATGTCCCCGTGATGAGTGCTTCTTTGGGTCAGAAACTTTTGAAAATCTAATGAAAGCTATGATTCCCTGTACCTGAAAAATGCACATGGACACATTTTGCCCAGCATCTCAAGGGCTCATGGAAACCCTCTCACACCTGCTTGCTCCTCATGGACCCTGTGTGAGCTCTCTGCTTCCGACAGATACACATTGCCCACGGGGAAGGCAGGAGGGCCAGGAGCACAGGTTTGGAGGGGGACCCGGAGCGCATGCGACCCGTGGATGTGAGTCAGGGCGGGCACAGCGGCTGGGACCCCAGGCCCCGCAGCTAGCTGGCGCTTACCCCCACTGGGATTCCTGGGACTTTAAAGGCAGAGGGAGGTGCCATGATCTGTAGTCCTCCCAGTCCTCAAGAGACCAGGGATCCAGCACCTTCCCCACTGCACCCCTCAAACCTTTTATAAGCCACACATTTTCAGACGCCTGTGACCACACATTAAAATTTGGTTCAACATGCACAGAGCACTTGGTGTGTCCAGGTACTCTCCTGAGCTCTTTAGAAATGGAATCTCAACATTTTGTATGCAATATTTTATGTGTCCCCTGGATAGGACAACATGCCTTGGAGGAATTAAGTTCTTTTTAAAAATCAAAGTCTTTCATCATGATCTGTGGCGTGCGTTTTCTTCAAATCATTAGGACACTTTTAGAAATGGAGGTGGGCTCTGGGGAGGCTCTGGGTGCAGCAGCCCCAGGGGCTCAGGAATAAGGAAATAAGATTGCCTCTGGTAGTTAAACTCTGCCGTCAACCCCCTGATGTCTACAGATAGAAAGCAGAGGGAGCAAAGCGAGCCGTCTGGGAATGCAGACGCAGTCTTAATGGACCTGCGGGGTTTTAAGAGAAGCTGGAAATATAGATATTTATTTGAAATCTCTTGATTTTGAAATGTTGGCACCTAATTCCATTTTTAAAAAAAAGTGCGTAAGCCAAACAAAAAATGACCTTGAGTTGAATTCTATCCAGAGACCACTGATTTACAAGCTCGGCTTTGAAGGGACAGAAGAGCTGCCCTCAGCCCCAGGTCACACTTGATAGAGAGCAGTGTGGGGGAGGGGTACGGCCATCTGACAGGCAGCTGCCTCGCCAGCCGGGTTCACTGGCAGCACTCCCCACAGGGTGGTCCCCTGGCCACCGAACCCTGCATCCCAGCCCCATGATGAGGCTCTGCCTCAGGCTGTCTCCATTCATCAGACTCTCACATTCAGTCCCCTCACCCTGTCACCCTGCAAGAGTACCTTACCACCCCGATTCTGCTCCTCAGACTCTTGGGACCAGTTGCGAGGGTCCACCCCGGAGAGGTGGACCCTCTCTACATGCAGACAAATCAGGCTTCAGAGCCTCTTACGAGAATGAGGGCTGAGCAGGGACCGCAGTGAATTAGCCAGACAAGGAATGTCATTTCCACCTCTGCGTCTCCTGGAGCCACGCGGCCTGGCTGGGCAAGTAAGCGTTAGAACTTCTCCAGTGTAGACAGGCCGTGTGCAATTCAGTGGACAGTGGTCCTTGAAGAGTTAGCTCCAGGTTTAACTACACCTCCCGGAGGTTCAAGGACACACCCAAGGTCATTGGTTGCTTAAAGAAGGACGCCCGCAGGAGGGCTGCTTCCCTGACTTTGGACCCTGGCCCTCTGCCCTCCTGCAGCCGCTTTAACAGGCCAAGGGCTCCTAGAAGCCTTGCGGTGGGAAAGGGAATCGCCCTTAGCCACCACAGGAGCAAGGACTTAGTGAACACTTGCAGGAGAGGGTGGAGACTGTGAATTTACTGATTTTATTCGTTTGCACACACTAAGTCCACCTAAGCATTTTTTATAGGATATCATTTAAAAACATCAGACAATTTACACTCAAAAAGGATCCTAATATCATCTCCTCTGTATACCCAGAGATCTGCTTAGAAAGACATAAGGTAGTCCAGTGTATCGATCGGCCAAGTCATTAAACAAAAAGTTGGGGCAGGGGGTGCCTGGGTGGCTCAGTCAGTTAAGCATCTGCCTTGGGCTCAGTTCATGATCCCAGGGTCCTGGGATCGAGCCCCGCGTCCGGCTCTGTGCTCAGCACTGAGTCTACTTGTCCCTCTCCCTCTGCCCCTCTCCCCTCAGCTTGTGCTCTCTCTCTCTTAAAAAATAAATAATTTTTTTTTTTTTAAAAGAGCAAACCAAGCCATAAGGAAGGCAAACTACAAAATATGAGAATGTGGTTTGAACTATTGCCTTTGCACTGGCCCCTAACTTCAACACTCCCTTCCCCTTCAGGATGCTGCCAGAATCCAATAGCAGTCATAGCAAGAGTTAGAAATGAGCGCACAGGCAGAGAACATTGCTGTGGATTCCATAACCTTTAAACTCCCAGGCAAGGCTGCGCTGAGTACTGCTAATGTGCGTGGCTCACTGGAGACTACACCCTATCTTAAATCCACATCAGCAGATGATGTCTCCGTGGGCACAAATGAGATGTAAATACTAAATCAGACTAAGAGAGATAACCGAAGGCTGCAAGGACTGGCAGACAAAAGAAATGTACAGGAAGCTGTGAATGGATTGATAAGGGGTGGCAAATTCTTTAAGTAAGCCGACTGGCTGGGTACATAAAAATCTAAATACGGAAAAAGGGAGTCTGGAGATTGAGAGTAATTGGCCCCTCAGGTGCACTGGTGTGTCTACTTGACGTCAGCAGAGCTGGTGCCAGGTATCGAGATTTCTAAAAATACTGGGTGTTGTGCTCGCTTCGGCAGCACATAGACTAAAAATACTGGGTGTTGCTGGCCGGG